GATATCATCGCGTTGACAGCTACATCTAAAATGGAGCAAGTAAAACAATGAACAAATTTTTTAATTCGTTTTTTTCCATTGTTAGTTCACCCTTTGGTAAACCATTCAACGTTGAGCATGTCCTTGGACTATGTTCTTGAGCCAAGCTAACAAAAATAACATGCGATTATCTAACGTGTCCGTTGCGGCGTGGAAGTAAAAGAACGTGCTATGGACTGGTTTGTTTACCACTGCAATACATAGAACAGCATCTCGTATGGGTGATAGAATACGTATTTATCCTTCGGCTATGTCTGTCAAGCCTAATTGTTGACGACCTTGTTACTACTGCCGCCACTAGCGACAATAGGGTGAAGCAATGTCGTTGCATCTACCCGTAGCACAAGGTGCAGACACAAACTCTCCGCTTGTGTAGTTAAAAACACGTAATAGAGTTTTCCACCGAACTTACGAAAGGACTATAGTAAGTTGTTCACGGGTCTAGTAATTACCGTACTCATTCCATAGGAGCTGATCATTCAGACCAAAAGGATCGATTTTGTTGCAATACAATAGAAAAATAAATGCACGTAAAAAACAGAGTTTCTGGCTTTCATTAATAATCAGTTCCTTTGATTTGTAGAAATGCCGACTTTGGAGACATCGAGGCCGTCTATTTTGATGCCCTAAACGCCAATTTCACTTACAAATTGTCAGTTACTGGAACTATAAGAAAATCTAAGGAATCTATTATTAATCTGTCATCTTGAGTCAAATGCCTCTCAGCCGCTTAGAAGTAAGCTCGCTAAGTTCGCATCGTGTCGATTAAGAGTAGTCAATAAAATTCGTCATGAAGATACAACAGAAAAAATACGTCAGAAAAAGCAACAGTGTTCATTATTAACAATGTTATTTCTAGCACCTTTGTAATGTCCTATCTCAAGTAAACAACTTATATGTAAGTTATGTTAATGTTATATATTTGATCATAAAATTATATGTGATTTTATGATCAAATATATAACATTCCGGCGATACTGTATCGTTGAAAGGGCTCCCGGACCATTATAGAAATTTTAGAAAATCTTCGAAGTTTAATGAAGTATCACACAGGCTCCACAGGCGAAATGTCGAGGACAAAGACTCCGATCCGGTGATCTCTTTCTGTATCTCCGTTCTACTCTATTACTATACAAAAAAAAAATATGTACAAACGAATAAACAAATTTACAAATTGGACTTTTCCTCTTTTGGAAAGCCACTATTACCGTTCCATGTACTGAACGCTAGTTCTGGCATACCTCACGTACAGATTCATGCGGGATATCGTCAGTTGTCTTCTATTTTGTTTTAATGTATAGGGCAGAACATCTCATTGAGATCGCCGGGAGAAACAAGTCTATAATTGTTGTACGATCAGGTAGGCGGCAGCGGCCGTAATGAAATAAAGGTGTTTTGTTCACGGGTGGCCGTCATAATCCGCCTAACTGTCTGTCGAGCCCACAGTCTCTCGTATACATTTCCGAGCATTGTTTAATGTAACCTCGGCTCTGCGGCGAATAGATCGGTAGTGGCCGACAGCGACGACGACCAGCACTCCGCCCTGCCGCAATTTCTTCCATCGCAATGGAGCTATGTAAGCATGTCTCTAGAGCTAGCTAGCCGAAGCTCCTTTATGTTGTTGGAGTCCATCACCGGCACCACAACAATGATAAGGCTTTCAGCCAGTATGATTACTTATATGCATGTTTCTGTATCGTTCTCCGTCAGTGGCATCAGCGGAGATGATGACGCTATGATGATGATGATAGTCACAGTTGGTTGGTTTGTGCTGTGTTTGATTCACTCGTTGAGGCCACTGAATGACCGTTACTGCGGCTAACAAACAGAAAACTACAATGGATAGTAATAACAAGAAAACAACAGCGTCATCCTCTTAGTGATGCGGATGGAGGCCGCGTTAGTGCCGGACAAAAGCTACCTGCGACGCGAGATCAGGTCGATGGACGTCTGCAATGGCGCAGAGATATAAGCGTAGAAAAAAAAAATCTGCTCGAACCCTTTCCGAATTCCGTCATTCTATGATATTTACGTTTCGCGTAAATCACATTCATACATCTAAATGATCACAACACAGACAAGTTCATATAGTAAATATTCATATCGTATCGTACATATACTTTGAACACATGAGCAATTTATGTGGTGCTCTCTGAATGTTTCTATTGTTATATAATTAAAGCACATCTCCTGTGGGGTCGTTGTCGTTTTTGTCTATTTCATTAACTATATAACCCGCGATGATTGCGCTGTACATTTACTATTATTGACACTAAAACGTCCATATCGAAGAGAATAGCCCTGAAGCAACCCAAATATTAACACAGAGACGCCATTAGATATTAATAATTAGAGTATTCTACAATAGTCACCTGTAGATCTTCTACAAGGTACTTTTACCGTATGGAGCTCTACAGCTTCGTTCTATCTACTGCTGAAACGAGTCCGCTGTAAAGGCGTCCCCGAAGAATTTAAGCCTCACGGCAAACATGAGATAAATACACACTGACCTAGAGATGAAGGATAACTCGCTGGCGCACAGTTCGAAGTGTATCCATTGATGAACATAACGTTGAACGTGTATGTACGCTAGTTGCCCCTTCGCCAGTTCCAGTTGTCTAGCCTTTATGAAAATTCTAACGGTGCTACCTATCTTTTCGTCAGTTCCGTAAATAGCGCTCGTTATTAATTATTATTATTGGTTTTCTAACCGAAGCCCATAATTTTGTTTGCCCAATATACGGAGAGGCTAGCGTCGTATAGATGAGAACTAACCCAATAATATTTCTGAAAAACTGTATTGTTAACAATATTATAAAGGTTTAGCTAGGACGAGGCAGATATTACAAGAGAATGCGCCCGACCTGATGTCCCCTTACGTTTATACCTTAAGCCTTCTAACTTATTGTTCTAGCAGAACTCCATTATGAGAGTTGTTTGAGAGGGGCGGATTTACTGTTTCGGCCACATTGTGCGAGAAGTAGCACATAAAAAATTAGCTCAGTAAATTGTTAGATGTATGATGCCGCAAACCTTTAACCTTGAAATCGGTTCACGTACAAAACGGATTCCCCCCAAAAAAACGGAACGATTTTTCTTTCGGGCAATCCGCCTCAAATTTGAGATGGCTTGATCGATGGTCTTCTCATTGCTCCGCACCTCTTTCCGAATCGACATTTATAGGCACTAAGTCTACGTGCGATCCTCTACAATTGAAATTTTATAAAATACATTATATATCATGTTGCTAGGCGCTATTTATTACGCTTTTATCCTTTTTCCTTCTACAAACGAGACTACGAATACTGTCGACGAACGTGCGGACACTGCCGACCCTGTTGGACTAGGGCGGGACGAAGCTAGCAGTAAGGCACTTCATCTATCGTATTCAATGCCGACCCCGACGATGTTCTTAATACCTACATAGGCTTCCTTTCTCAGGCACGCCCCAATGCCCCTCCATCAAGCCCACAGATATACAAAGACCATAAATAGGCTAGTATTTGTGTGCGAAATCGCAAAACACAATGTAAATTCTTTAGCACAAGCATAGCTATCTGCTGTGGCTATTCATTCGCGGATTGGCTCCATATCAATTTGCTATATGCCCTGTGCCCCCGCAGCGATGCTGTTTGATCTTCGTCGTCTGAGAATATGGTGACGTAAGTGAAAATAGGAAACCAACGGTAAATGATCAAAACCTGAACATCGTGCATGACCCTGCGAAAGCCAAATACCGGCAGAAAAGTGAGTCGTTTCAATGCAACATATCATAAATACGTAATTCGAACAAAAGAACAAAGGTGCATCGTAAGGTGCAAATAGATTATAATCATGTTGAGGTGTTCTTCATGATCAGCATAAGCTGCCAGAACGGAAGAATATACTGTAGACAAACCATCAAACGGTTACCCTACAATGTCTTCGAATATTTCAAGCGCAGAAGCTGTATGAGTATATTGATATTTTTCTCGCTTCGTGATTATCTTTCGTACTTGATGCCCTGACAGCATGTCTGAATACGAGGTTCTAATGAAAAGCACGGTACACAGCTTCGACCTGTCAACTCGCCAGCAGAGCAGCACCGGTACTGATCGCGCAAAGCATTTATTAACTATTTGACTTGGATTTTCCATTTTGGGAGTGTTTTTTACGATCATTGAGTGCACTCACGCGCCAGCTGTTAACCTAACGATTTTCAAGACAGGTATGATACGTTGCCTGTGTAGCATACGTTAAAAAAGGAGCATCTGTTATCTTTAATTTACGTAGAAGTAATCTCTTTCTTAGCCGATGCTCTAGAAAGCAGGCGGAAGAAGGACTAGCTGGAGAACAGTCATGTATTCTCGTTGATTTATCTCCCGCCATTGCTATTATTGTCGTTGTTCTGAAAAACGATCATGTACGACAGGGCACGGACAACAACCAACAAATAGCTAAAGGGAATTTAAATAGCTAGGAACGCCCTCTGCTATTAAGGCCGGCCCAGCCGTTCCTGCATCGAGCAGGCAACGACCTCTTCTTCCTCCTGTTCGTTGATTCGATTTTTCCGGAAGAAAAAACATACAAACGAAAAGGAAGAAGAGCGCTTTAGTATCTGCCACATATCCCCGAGCACTCACACATTGCTACATTGTTCCAGGCAAACTCATTAGTTCATTGGAGAGTACATTCGCAGTTTCGCAAGCGAGCACTTGTCGATGCAGCGCATGTCGAAGGAAGACCAGGTGGCGACAAGAGGAGCATATGAGTGTCCTGAGAAGACGCTCGACAAGGAGACGATCACAGCGGGATAGATTGCCCCCAAACTACTAATAATACATAGGCACGTATTCAGTGGCTGCACGCCACTCGGGCTTGCGTTTGCTTGCAGAGGCAAACCCGATACCATTATATATGTACTTTCCTAATTTTCGTGTGATTAAGGGTACGATTGATATCGTTTGTTCTTCCCACCGCAGGAATGAATTCAGGCGAGAATAAGTCCCGTCTACTCATAGATGAGATGAAGGAACGCGGAAAGGAGTAGGGGTCTTGTTGACAACACGGCACTTCAAGAAAACTAGCTTGGTCGTTTTCTTCTCTCTTGTCCTGATGCGCCGTATAGTAGGCCGATAATCCATTGCTTTCAAGAACAAATCTGCTCAGGTGTCTATAAATGTAAGCATTGTCAAGACGTTTATTAGAAGCAGGTAGATGTTTGCACCGAAACCTCCCTAACCTCCGTTGGCAGCTCTGAGTTCCTGATTTTGAGCTAACGTTCTTTTGTGAACATCTGGAGTAGCCAGCAACGCGTGAAAAATATAGCATCATAAAAACGAGTAGTCCAACTTAGTTAAATTGCCAGAGTGACAGCATGACTTAATAGTGTAAGGCGTGTCTTTATTTATACTGCACTGATGGTGCGACCGGTGTATTTGATATATGAAAGGTTTATAACCCACAGCTGTGGCAACTACAAAAAAGAAGACAAAATAATAGAAAAGCATAGCTGGAATAGGTGCATATTGTCTTATACTTTCCTGTTTCCATTTCATATCTTGCAAGCGATTGAGTATGCAAAAGCAATCCAGTGACCTACTTCCGTACATTCAGAGGTGAACTTTGAAAACCGCCTTCAGTTTGTTTTGTAAAGGGCAAAAAGCCTTATTACAGATATTCACGAGTAGAAGATGTAACTTACTGCTATTATCTTTTATTCTCCTAAAAATCCCTAAATCATTATATTAATTTTAAAGTTTTAGCTCTTTAAAACCAATAAATAACCGCATTTGAATGGGGAGATCGAGCTGTCATAGATACGACACTAGGACATGCCGTTTCCATCGTGGTTGTACGTGTACTCTTAAATATAACGAATGTAGTTCTTTGGGATATATGAATTCATCAGTAATTCCACACATTTTTTTTTTGTTTTTATAGCACATATCATTCAAACCTATTCATTATACATATTATGGTGAAAACGAGCATTTGAAGATGAACGGTTTGCTATGCTGGATGTACTCAATGCCTTCACTATGTTCAAGTCACGAGTGATTATAATAAATAAATAAAATAAGCCGTTCGTGACGTTTACTGGTGTGGCTTGTGCGGTCCGTTAATGGCTGTTGTTCGCTTGTAATTGTCGATTGTACCCACGAGTAATAACAAATAACGTGGCGCTTTCAATCCACACGAACAGGCTTTACTGCCTTGTCGTCTGCTCCGCTACACTTTCCCACCGAAGGGTCACCTAAGCCACAGATAGGACTACTAGGTCTCGCACAGCCACTTACCAGAAAACGACACGTGTCGTAGACTTCATATATATCTGAACACTCTAAAGGTAATCAATAGTGAAATAATCGAAAATAAATATCGGTAAAGTTGTCAGAGAAATTCAGCTTCTAGTGGCACTTACCACTTGTTGACGCTACGGTATTACATACAAGGATGACGATGTCCATTTGTTGACACTGATGATTGAAATTTTAAAATTGGTGGGATTGCTGTTCAAAAGGTCTTCTGCCAAAGTCAATAAATATATGCAATAGGGTCGTGCAACTGCTATTTTATGTTGGTGCTTGTTGTTACGAAGCACGTAGAGAGTGCTTAAACATTATGCAATACTTTACATTGGTATGGAGAAAAATTCAGCGAAAAAATATACCAGGAAATGTCATGCTTAGTTTGATATTGTGAACCAGCGAGATTTCAAGCTAGAATTGTCACTTAAAAGAAACAAAAGTATCTTAATATATTTTTAAAGCGAATTAAATGATCCTCAAACCTTGGTGAACGTCCCATGGTTCAGTAGCTTTTTAAACAACCCATAGTGCAACGGTTCCACTATTCAGCTGAATGCCTATTACAGATGTGTGTATCGCTTGGAATCATTTGCTATATTACTAACTAATAACGTCTAAAAGATTCAAGTGTCACGCCACATATATAGTATATAAGATATCACATTGTGTGGTTGTCTCCCAGCACGAAATGACGCGAGTCTACGCTCGTATTCGAACCCAAACCAATATATGTCCCTAAGGTTGAGCAGCCAAACACTACCCACTGCGCCATTACTAAAAGACTTTACGATGCCAGATCTATCTATATAAGTATTGTAGTACGATCGTCTGAGTCCTCATCTTCATTGATTCCAGTTGATCGGCAGAAACGTCGACGAAACAGATACCCACACTCCTTCTAGGTAATCTAATCTACTATGACTAGTAAATAGCTTGGTATGGGATCCATTTGTATGGAGCGTCGCACCCCTTCATTAGATGCAATTTGATCTACATATCCTCTTCTTTTGCATTTTGCTTGCTTTTCACGTAACAGTGATCCTATAATTACCAACCTGAGCCCTCCTTATTTTTGAAGTTACAGCGACTCGTTTTCGCATAAGATGGCGGACAAAAATAGCACTTGTCTTTGCACAAGACGAGCGGACGTTTCGGACTTCTTTACCTACCTTGGTTAATGTGAAATCTCTTTCCCCTATAGAAACAATGTTTTTTGGGGACAGCTCGTCGCAGGATAGCAATATTGGTTCGCCTTAAATTCCTGTTCCTGACCTGTCAAGTATTCGTCGTCCACCTGGACACTCTTTACTATTTTTCGCGCTTCGCTTTCTTCCTTTTTTATACCCCTCTTTCTACCTTTGCTTCCTTTAACTCGTACGCTTTCGCTCTTTCGATATAAAACGGGAATTCAGCGGAAAATAGAAGTTGTGGGTATGTTTAGAGATGTTATAGCCGAACAGAATACTGCACGTAGTGCCCTTCTTTGATTACCCGGGTCGAGATAAATACGATAATAAAGTTCGTGTGCCCTATGAAAGATGCATACTTTTCGTAAATGGGCCATTGTTTCTGAACAGCAGCAAATTGTTTTATCTGGTTCGTCTTGCTTCGTATTATCCACGATTGTTGGCTGTATATACCAAATTTTCCAGCCTTCGGCTTCTTTAAGTTCTTTAGCCTGATTATTATGTTTTTCAAAACCGTCTACTCCGCAGATCATTCAGAGGTACCGGACTCTTCTAGACCATCTGAGGACTGCAACGGTTCTGGGATTTCGGTTCCTCAATAATGCTTAGACTACATTTTAATCATTGTTGCATATCTTCGGGTAGTCCCACGGTTGGCGCGCGACCAGCAACAATTTTTGTTTGTTTAACAATGACAATGATAAAATATAATACATTAGTATATCGAAAATGTAATGTATCTACATTATTAGTACACAATATACGCGACAAGAAAGCTAGGTAATTATTATTATTATCAGTTAATACCATGTTTATAACTAGTAGTTACTATAATACGCTATTTTTCTTTGCAGCATACGAGCCACTAAACTTAAACTGCTAACCTGAAGTGTCCTCAATGTAATCGATAAGCGTAAATTACAACCTAAGCAATAACCACGGAAACGGGTCAAATCGGGCCCACGTCCATGGTCGCGTTAATTGTTAACGAACGACGGCGGCCCAGGAAAACGCTGAAAGTAAATAAAATGTAATGGGTGCGCCAGATTATGTCACTGGTGTCCTGTTTTCTAGGGCAGCCATTTGCTAACCGCAATTGCTAAGCAATAATTTCGTTAGTTATCCTCTTGTTGGCCAATGGCCATGTCCTCCGTCGTCACTTTAGGTACTCATACTTATACTCTCTATTTCATCTGTTTAGAAACGCAATGAACTGTAGGAAAATCAGGCGTGGCAAATACGTTCCAATTTTATCCTTGACGTTTAAATGAGCTCGATATGTATATATTTAAGCAACTTCAGACAACCTACCTCCGGCTCGCAGTTCCTGTAACAGCTGTCTAGCGGCCGATTCACTACGGGCGTTAAGCACACTTTATTTCGCTTTGGATATTTCTGTATAGCTTCTTGCACAACCAGTCAACAAAGACGGCGACGACGCCCTTTCCGTTCACTTAGTTCAACGTTACGACGTTCTTCTTTTCGTTCTGCTGAACTCGTCGTATGGGTGCGCGTCTTTGAAAATAAAAATTGGTACTAGAAGCACTACCTTTCACAGGCACGGCACTCACAGAACAAGCAAATTCGTATATCGTTGCCCACGTGGTAGTAATAGTGCTATTAAATATGCATACGCGGATTGCGGTCCCGCTCTCTGCTATGGCCAACTCGAATTTTTCGACCGCAGTGCTCAAGGTTGCCTACAAGTTACAAGTTAACTTGGCTTTGGATTTGGCTTGTTGATTTAATGCAAGAGGTCGCCACAACGCCCGACAACAGCATAGCTTATCAAAGATACTCGCTCTTTCTTTGCACGATGGGCTTAACGTAGAAGTTCAAGTAGAATAGGAACCTCAGTGGCCAAAACAAGACGTACATAAGTATGTAATTAGCTCCTATGAATAACACAGTAGTGCATGCATACGCTTTGTGAATGAATCTTTTTTCGTGAGTAGATTGGTCACCGAATAGATTTCTTTCGTAAACGAAAGATAGTTAGGTGGATGAGTGCTACCACGATGAACGCTGCTGTCCTTGCTACAGTCTACTCCATCAGGAAAACGGGCGACTCAGTAAAAGGTTGGCGTTCATTATCAAGCAGCAAACGGACAAATGCACAAACGAGGCGCCGATGAGAATGTTGTGCACTTTCAGTAGATCGTCGAGGCCGCAAGACTGGCGATTTGCTGAACGGGCTCCTTGAGCGCGACTACGTTGACTTCAGCTGCTACTGGTATTATGCGTGGGTACAGGCCGATAGCCGCGGAGAATCGTTCACTTTTTTCACCTGAGCAGCCTGAAGCGACAGCTGCAGCAGAAGTGGACCTGCCGATGCGGTCGCAGACAACGTCCCGAGTACCGTTGGCTGGTAGCGACGGCCTTGCTGGTGGCCTACACTGACTGAATGGCGCTGGCTGTTTGAAACGGCCGGGAGAAGGGGGCGGGTGTAACAGTTCAGTTGAGTGCTCGTGCAGACGGCCGCCGCCGCCGCCGAGACAGGGTGTATGCGGCAACTCAGCGAGAATGAGCAGCGTTGTGTGGCCTACGCCGCCTGGATGACAGTTGAGGGAGCGGGCGATCCCAGTGGCCAACATGGTGGAGTCCGCTGCTACCGCTAAAGGAGCGCGAGAGAGGCTACGACCGATGGGAGTGGGGCTACAATGGTTCAAACGATGATCTGAGCGCGGACTCATGAACGTTACGACCAGCTAGGACGAACAGGGCCTACGAGCAAGCGTCTACTGTAGACTTGACAAACTAGACTTTTATCAAAGTCACAGATAGAAGAGAAAAAAGGAACCAGCTAAATAGATAGCCACAATGAAAACAAGTTTAAATGATATTACGATTATAGCTAGCATTTAGGATATGATTGCAAAGTTCAAGGTTATTATATATATATAATGCCGTATATGGTATTTCATAGAACGCAGTTGTTCAGGGTTCTAGTCACAAAAACAATAGCATCAAGGGTAAGGTAATTTTTGTCCTGTGAAAAATACCTCTACGAAGAGGTGCATAGAATAGCTTTAGGTTCATTCTATGCTGTCAACGCGAGTCGTTTAATATGTCTCTTCTTTAAGAATATGTCAATATACTTACCAAATTGTGGATATTATTTCTGGATTCAGTTTTCCAACTTTGTAAGCAAGACCACAAAGGCCTTTTTATGATGTAGATAGGTGCGTGTGGCTTATGAAACGGGCGCATTTCGAACTAACCCTTGACATACCCCGGACGTTCAAATTATCTAGGCTAACAACGAGAAAAAATATTTTACATAAAAAAAAAATGGCTTTATATAGCAATATTTAACCTAGCATATTTTTATCTGTTTTTTAATTGTTGGTTTATTACCGTCTAACCATTCTTTACGCTAGCCATTATTTGGCATTTTTTAGCTATAGTAATCACGAAGCTAATTGAAGAGTAATACAATTATAAGCTGTAATAGCGTCCTATTAGTACGACAGTTACTTGAAAAAACTTATTTGAAAATAGATCCTAGAAATTCATGCCTCAACCGGAAACGTATCACTTGGCACCTCATCTCACTTAAATGTTTATTACGTACTACTAGGAGTTACGTCAAGTCCTTATACTCAATACGTCGAGTACTTATATTCAATCTGTCCTTGGTAAACTCTAATGCCTAACGATAACCTCAAATGTAGTTTCAGAGATTTGTTAAAAAAAACATGAAGACATATTGGAAATCTATTTGGATGTCAAATCAAACTACAGTGAATCTCTCCTATACAAAATCTACCTTAAGCTACTGCCTATTAATGAATTAGATAGCTACATAAATTAGGTGCAGTACAATCACGCAGATTATCCTGATCTGTCAAGGAGCGATAAATATGTCTTCTAATCTTCGGTTATTTGACATCGCATCTTTGTAATTGGCACGGTAGTAATTGCTGTAGCTGCTGTTATTGGGCAGGAACCGTGACGCTGCGTAAGGCTTCTACCTGCAGCAGATAAGGAAGGAAGCAGTCTATCTATTTGAATTAGCAACAGGGTCAGGATGGGTCAATTCCCGTGGCTAGAGCTAGTACATGGTTGTTCGCCGCTTTCTTGACAAAATCAACATGTCAGTAGCCAATATCAGTGATGGTCGTGCATAGTAGAATCAATAAGACCATTGATATATATCACAGAAGTAGAATTCGCGTAAATAAGTAAAGCTGCGTTATTATATGCAATGCATATGGTAGACAGCTTTCGATATATTTTTAACCTGTTATTATTAAGCTCTACAAAATAACGCGTTTCTACACAAACTCACAAGGATCGATGGCAATGCGCTCTTCCGAAACCCTATTTAAGCGTAGGACAAGTATAAAAAGCCTGCGACGAAAATGAACGCACAACAACACTCACGTATCTAATTGACGTTAACAGACACAAACAAGGCTTATACGCAAGCATACTATGGGGAGTTAGTACTAAAATATTGCGTAAGCGAAGGGTTTCGTGTCTCGTTCGTTGTTGCAGCCTTCCAGGACCTACGGAGGGCGTTTGACTCGCAAAAAGAATTTCTTGTTACTTCCATATTCCTTTGGAATTATTTTGGATGGATTCAGTGGGCCTTACATTTCTTCGATTATATGTAAAAGGTGAATTTTTTTGTAATCGTGTTTACAAAATCACCGGGCCTTATACTGGCAGAACTAAAATGTTTTTCTTACCCTACGAGATGTAATACTGTTGCAGGCCATATGAGGCAAAATTCTGGATAGATATGTTATTTTTGAAATAGGTAATGAATCAAGTATTTATATATTGTGTGTGTGTGCGACGTGTTGTTGACTAGACAAAAATAACAGAAAAACGTTTGGATCGAAATGAGTAGATGTCTATGCTAGCGTATCCTTCAAAGCTGTAGGAGTCGCTAGAATAGGTAAAGGATAGTGGGCAGAAGATGACACGATGGCAATAAGTAGTTCTCGCGAAGTAATCCAAATGGTGAAATCATGAACCGCATTGAAGGTTGCTTACCATAGCCTGTTTCAGTTCTGATAAACTTAACACCTGTTCTTCAATTGCGGTTTGTAATAATATGCGAAAAAATGATTGCATCATGGGGTAAATTTCAACGAAGGCCGAAGACCGTTTGCAATCCCAGTAGATGAGATAATCAAAGAATTATCTGAAAATATCTATTTGTAGAACTTTGTCTCGCTAAGATCAACGATTGATAACAAGGGGTGCTGCCCGAACACTAAAACACTCATTTGATTCCGAAACGGACCAGGATGATTTATTCCATGGCAAAAAAGCATCAAGTACAAGCGTGGTGTCATACCTTATATTGTGCCTAGGTACGTTGCTGTTTGAGAGCTGCTTCCGTGTGTCTATCGTGCCTATCGTACCGTACCGTTGCATAATGTAAACCAATTGTTTGTTAGCGCCTACAGACATAAATCAGCGTTCGACAGTTCGACCTGTCTATGGGACGTTTATATATGCTTTGCCTAATGAATGAAGATATATGAAATCCAAATTGACTTTATGTGTAGCAGGCAGTTTTATTGCGTAGATAAGAGCCGCTATATGTGGCACACTCGTCCGCTCATTGTACTACTGTAATTGTTATTGTTATTATTATTTTTAGTCATTGTAGTTTTTATTTCGTTTATTATTTGTATGTATGTGAGCAAAAACAATGGTATATCTGAGGCGATCACTGTACTATGAAGAGGATGACATTAGGTTGAGTAATAGATAGACCTCTGTCCGACCGTTTGCATATTTTCTCACATCACAACAATGTCATGAGCTATCTCATTAGAGGGTTTAGTGAGTCATAGATGATTGTGATTTTTTCCTGTATGGAGTTTTTTTGGTTCATTCTCAGATATACGTAACATTCAGCGGGCTTCAAATCCTTAGTTTCGCGTACTGGTAGACGTAAGAAACAAGCAGTTTAACCTGAGATAACTTTAAATGGGGATCCGGGAATATTTTCGTCTCCCCATTTAACTATAATGACGTGATCGCCCCGTTCCTTGCACTGGTAGGAAACGTTATACATATTACGCCCCATGTGCTTGACGAACGTCTCATCACAAGGCCCTTTAGGCCCAAACACACTGCAGTAAAGCATATTATTGCCAGCGTTGCTGCAATCGACGGTAAAGGTGTTAGCGCGTCCCATGACGGCCTTCTTTAGTCCTAGACCTTTTGAGGTGCATCGCGATGCGTCCGATTTGAATGCTGGCAGGCGATCTGCCTTAGTAGTTCCGACCTTACGAACGGTGTCGAGTTCGACATTTGCCGTTTCAGCGACGTTGGCGGCTACCAAACCGCCAGCCGACGTGCGAGCAGCTTCGCCACTCACAGTAACCTTAAATGGTGATCCCGAGATGTGATATCCGTTGTACTTTACTGCGATAAAGTAATCGCCAGGGGCCAAGGGAGTATAATGCACTTTGTAGCCTTCTTCGACGTCTGTGCAGTCCATGGATACTTTAGTGGGACCATCCACCTGCACCTTGAGCTTGCCGATACCAGCTGCGGTGGTGTCGACAATAAAATCGGTCTTGTGTCCAGCAATGGCTTCCCTCAGACCAGGGCCATGCGCATTTACGGCTGCTGGATCAGCGTCGTCAGTGCCGACGAGCACCCGGAACGGCGATTGCGGGATATGGACTCCTTCGCATCGAATATGAATATTGTGCACACCGTTCTCCTTAGGTACGAAACGTAGAGCCCATTCCTCTGTAACATCCATAAGGTGCAGAACATTGTTATGACTTACAAAATATTACCTGCAGTTCACCAACGCCCACAAATACTGCAAGTGTACTGTATAAAATGAAGGAATGAATGTATAAACATAAACATGTTTCACGCAAAGCTATTCAATAACTATGAACTAACAAGACATTTACATGAACAAAAAGATATTTTCTAGAAAACGTATTACAGTATTTTGTAATCACTTCACGTTATTAACGTGTACACAACGAAAGTTAAACCTCTCCAAAGGATTTCTTCTTTGAATGTTTGTCTTGATACATTATATGTACCTTGTACTGAACAAACTTCCTAAAGCGATATGGAAGTACGGGAGAATTATGAAAATAAATCAAGGTTTCACTAATGAGTTGTACAATTTCACAGTTATTTGATCGTATAGCTTTCGGTTCAGTTAATGCGGATGCTTTTTTTATCATGACATGACTGCACTCGCCTCCCTTCAAATCATCAAAAGTTCAGTGCCGCAGTGAGAACTCGGACCACATAATAATTGAAGCTCAACACTTCATATGTAATATTAGAATTATTAGTTCTCTTACCGGAATCAAGGCAACACATAAAGGCGTCGTCCTTCCTGCCTGAAGGATCGACAACTTCGCCGTCAAGGGTTCCCTTAGCACCGTTCATCCGAAGTGTCAGGTTGGCAGGCGTATTAACTTTGATATTCTCAGGAACATTAGCTAGTTCGATCTTAGCAGCATCTCCCACAGGCGGCATTACGTAAACCTAACGTGATGCAAAACAAACGCAAAAGTGACAAAGTCATTCCGAGTCATCTCGACATCTTAAACAGAATAAATGCAAAGGCTCAAAACCAGTTCTAAACAATGTACGGAATTACGATCTCACCTTGAATGGCGAATCGGGAATATGTTGATCGTTGAATTTGATACCGACGCGGTACTCCCCGGCTTCAGCTACCTTGTATGAGATGTAGCATGAACCATCTTTGCGGTCCTTAAAGTCGATAGCAGCCTTCGATGGGCCTTCAACTGATACGGCCAAAGCGCCCGCGCCGGCTTCGCGTGTCCAAATATTGAATTCGCATGGTTCATTTGCTACACCACGCTCTAGACCTTGACCGCCAGCATGGACTCGGTGAGCACCGTAGTCCCTGAGGGGACCAACAGTAAACTGGAACGGCGAGCCAGGAATATGGAACTTCTTATGACGCACAGTTACATGGTGGATGCCAGCTACCTTGGGCACAAAGCTGACCTCATATGCGCCATCCTCTGCATCGCGGATCGTTGCGGCGTTCGAGTCGCCCCCAGGGCCCTGCACTTTAGCGTCCATGTCAATGGCGCATGCGTTTGGCAGTTTGAAGATCAGTTTGCACTCTTGGCTGTAAATTAAACGTAGAATAATCATTCAAACAGAACACCAAATTAGAAAAGGTATCCTCTGGCCTAATGAAGCTTCTGACGTGTACATTGCATTTTCTAAAGCTAAGACGTAACTCAATATCTTAACTTACCCGACGTCGGAAACGGGTGCAGCCTCACGTTGCTTCTTAATTCTCTCACGTTGTACGTTAGACCCCTCCCCGTCAACTTTGACAGTGAAGGGTGACCCACGAACATGGTGGTCGGCAAACTTCACGTTTAGGATGTAATAGCCCGGTTCGGTCGGCATGTAACTCACCTTTACGGTGCCATCTTCGTTGTCTTTGACCTTAATGTCAGCTTTAGAAGGTCCTTCCATAGATATCGAGAGGCCACCATAGCCTGTAATTTGCCACATAAAAAATAATAAAGCTGATTCGGCTCACTCATCTGATGCCTTGCTAAGGCACAGCTAGCTTGCCTGGACTGTCAGAAAGGCCAGGGCTGACTTAATCCTAGTCAGTTCCAATCATAATTTCTATCGTGCTGAGTTCAACTTGATTCTCGTGCATTGTGAACTTTCTCGTCTATTAAATGCGGTGAAGTGCATGCTTCGGAATTATACTATTCCGCTAGAAATCATGACCTGATTGATTCAATTATCTTTTTTTATGTATCTACTAGATATTAGCAAATCAAATGAAATCATTTGTTCAGTATCCTACAGTATATAAGGCTACTATTCTATATTATTATACATTGCTACTATTACCATTCATCACTAATACTTATTTATCATGAAATTAATAAACTGCCTAGCTTAACGCGGGTTTGGTTAAATGCTCAGGTTATTGACCTTTTTCGGTACTTGCGCGGTCCTGTAACCCGAAAAGGAAAGGAAGGACACTTCTATGCATCTGATTTAGGCTATTCCAATGAAGATATTTACCTATCCTAATGTACAAGTACAACTGAGGCTACAATACACTGCAGCATTCTCAAAATGATATCGGGGGGAAAATCGGACGGGGTAACTGAATGGAGCGAAACGTATTTTATAGACGGTGTGAGAAATAGCGTGAGATATCGTAGGGGCAAGGAAGGAGAAGGGAGAATAAGATGAAAGGAAACAATTAAAAACGGGAATTTTGTTGACAAAGCCTATTATTGCCCACAGCGAAACAGAACTAAATTAGGAGCGTATGTGATACAATGATTCCAACCTGCGTCTTTGGTATCGATAACGAAGTCATTATTTTTGTGGGTAATGCCCTGGGTCAGCCCAGAGCCCGATGTCTGAACGCGAGTCGAATCTCCAATCTCGCAATCGAGAACGCTAATCTTGAAGGGAGATCCCGTAATCTCCTGACCTTGACGACGCACATGGATGCGATGCTCGCCCGTAAGACGTGGGGTGAATGAAATACCTTGAAAGAGCGATCAAGGCGTTATCTATGGGTTTCGTTATAGGTATCTTTTTGTGAAGATTCAAAAAGGCTTCTTAGCTAGCTCAGACAGTTCTAAGTCATGCGCTGAACACGGTTACAGAAGTACATAGTTATATATATACAACGAGAGTCCAATGTCGGAACATTCTATTCAGTTTCGAGTGCCTCTAAAAAAGTAAGAAGAACTGAAGTTCGTTGCCAAGAAATTAGCCGTTTTTCAACCTACCAAGTTGTCCGTTAGGCAATTGCTTGAGGAAACAGGGTTCCTCAAGGCCGTTCGGAGCGACGATGTAAGCATTGAGGGTCTTGATGTCCTTGTCCTGAACTTTAAGTGATACCTCGGATGAATGACCAACAGAAATCTGAGCACGCTTGCGGCCTTCTCCAGTCACTTTAGCAGTGTAAGGGGATCCCTTGATGTGCTCATTGGCGAACTTAATCGTGATCTTGTAGTCACCTGGAGCAGCTGGAAGGTAGGTAACCGTGACGGTTCCATCACGATTGTCGTGATAGTTGATGTCGGCTTTGCTTGGGCCTTCAACGGCAACGTTCAGCCCACCTGAAGTGGCTCCCTTGGTCGAAATATGAAATTGTGTAGGCTCATTGGCAACGCCGTGTACAAGACCAGGGCCGTAGGCAGTGACATAACCAGAAGAGATGGAATCAACATTGAACTTGAAGGGCGATCCCTGAATGTGCTCTCCGTTGAATTTCACGTGCAATTCGTGGCAACCCTCCTCACGCGGATCATAACGAATGGAGACCGTTCCATCCTGATTATCGACGATCACCGGCCGGTCAATTCCACCCGAAGGCATTTTAACAAACGCGTCAACGTCAGCACTGTTCTTGTGACGAGTCGGGAGGTTGTTGAGCTGAAGGCCGTGGAACTTCTTTGTAGTTCGAGTCTCTTTACGGTAGCTAGTTGTTGTTGTAGTCTCCTCGTAGACTTCTTGAGTTGTCTGCGAAAAAGTGGTATAAAATCTAAAGATCAGTATAAGATAAATCTCTCTTTCGCTATGATAGATCATTTGACAGCAGACACTGTCAAAAGCAAAACTGTAACATACAATTAACTAACTTCATTAATCCAAAAAACTATTGGCATAACAGACCAAACAACTCATATGTAACCATACGATAGCAGCTCTCCTATCATATTACAGAAACTACAGTGTTACACTAACTCTTTCATCGTATACTAAACTACATTAATACATTTTGATTTTTTTGTTCCTACACCTGCAGACTTACGGTATGAACCGTTATGACAAGGCCCCCGACGAAGCGTAAAATAAACGGGTGTGCAAAAACAGGCTGAAAATACCCGTAATCCTAATACTACACGTACAAAAGTACGGTATCCATCGTTAGTATAGGTTATCATTGTGCTGTATTCTTTAAATGTGGCTGCGTCTGGTTAAAGGTCTATCTCTGTGCAGCGTCAATGCAATTAACCCGATTATTATTCTGTTTAGGCTGATCTTCAATATAGCAGGTTCGTTTATACAGTACTTACTCTTTGTAATTATACATACGAAGTGAAACTTATCCTTCGATGATTTATCTATACAAAAAAAAAAAGGTGAAAATTTCCAGTCAAAGCATGAGCTCTACCCAGTCATGTAAAAAACGCTTTCCAAAATAGGCGCCTCAAAGCAAAATCAGTCGACGGCAATTTAATCAGGTTACCTACAGATGGCCCAAAAAGGATTTTAACAGGCCACGTACGCAGAGTATTAGCAGTAACGCAGCCTGGCTGCTTGGCCCCTATAAGACTACATCTCAACACCTCCTTGGAGAAATCGTGAGGCGCGATATTTCTGTGCATGATAAAAGTTTTGCATTTGTTCTTCGGTATATTTCACCTCGGGTTTGACTGGATAGCTAGAATGAAAAAAGAGTATCTTAAAAAAACCTAATTGAAATGGAAAATTTAATCCCGCGATTACATTCAGTGCACCTGATATCAGCAATTATCGGAGCCATTCGGTTATCAAAGTCATACATCATATGACTGGCTGATATGCTTCAAGAAATACCCAAATCGACCTATTACCTGGCATATCCTCAGATTTACTGCATACCGAAACGCTACGACAACCTTTATAATGGATGTATACGTATCGATCACGGTAAAATTGCTGCTCGACACCCGTCAACATAAGCTGAATATTGTCAATGTTTATTAGCTTTCTCGAGATATTTTCAGCGGGACACAAAAAGGACTCGTCGCATTAATGAGAGATTGTCCTGTACACAGGTCACGTTCCACTGCTACGATGCCGTTACTAGGCGGACCAAGCGCTGATAAGTGCGTACGATTTGCAGAATTTAGCGATCGAATTTGATAAGATACGCTCTGGTTGAATGTTGAAGTACGTTATTAAACGTGTCAGACACATTCTGCTAGAACAGAGCATAAATGAGCGGTCAAAATGGTACTGCAACCTTACGTCACGTATGATGTCACTATTAGGACGAAGAGAAATCGCCTTTGTCGAATAACAAAATGCATGTAGTTGATTTGAGTACTCTTTCTGTGCAGACCCAGATTCCCAGTTTATAGGTAAAACGAACTATATTCGTTCCGGTGTACTTCCTGTTGACATAGGCAACAAAGCAAGCACTTTCTTTCACTGATATTGAACACGAGCATCTGCTGGGAACAATAATGCTTCCAGTTTCCAGCTACCAGAGTTTTTTGCTCCTTTTTCCTGGTTCTTGACGGAAGCCAAAAAAGACCCTTACTATAGCTACATGCGTCAACCTCTTCCTCCTACGTTGTTCGTATAATCGTCTTCCCCCCCCCCCCCCTTCAAGCATAAGTGTATACTATACGGGGAAGGTTAAAGAAATGAGAATATGTAAGGTTTTCTAAATAAAAAAAAAGTTAAGGTACCAGTTTATCACACGGAAATCGGGAGACGATTTTGCTCAAAGTCTTTATACACCTTTAGCTTGATGTTTGTATAAATTAGGATACAAACTTAGCTGCTATTGATGGACAATAATGATCTGAGAGCCAGCCTGAGTCACGTGTAGTATCACTTTCAAGACCTGAGGTCTGATCGTTTGTAAAGATTACCGACTACATCAAGTTGCGAAGCCCAAGTAAATAAGTCATAGTAGGTAAATCTCAAAAATTGTTGCGTGAAGCTCTTGTAAAATGTAAGTAAAGGCATTATCAATGGCTCCGGTAAATACTGCTGACTTTTTACTGTAAATAGGAACAAATTATACACGCTAGTAAAGTTCCAAGGCAACGGCGACTTAAAAAAGAAATATTCACAACTTGATAAAGGTTTTGCGTTAGAGGTCCGGTACCGCCGTTAGATACTGCTTTAAACGGCTGGATTCCAGCAAAAAACGAGATATGCCTATGTTTGCGTTTGACCTTAGACCACCATGTATCCTGTAATTTAGAAACTAGACACATTGCCACCGCATGAGCACAGGAACAATATTCACGATTAAATTAAGACAGATTCTTTATGCAGGAAATAAGCTCTTAAATCTGAGAAGGGTATATTCTAATTTGTTTGCTACGAAGATTTTCTATTACAATCGAGTTCGTGTTTCCCTCATTTCAGTAGTAACTAGTGTTAGCTGGTCAATCCAAACTCCTATCATTTCATTCTATACACTCATATATGAACGTCGATATTTCACATAGACACAAACTGTATATCCGGCAAACTATCGATATTGAAGGGAAGCGTTGTAGGTATTATCTTCGTGATCTTACGCACTGTCAATGTAACCTGTGTACAAGGAGATCACTTGAGGAATGGTTTATCTCACGCACTGTCTAAGCACCTTTATACATTGCTTAGACTGAGATAAGTGTGCCCACTATCTTGATGCACAACAACCCTAAGAGTGGAAAGCTGCAAGAACAAGAGCTCTGTTTCCTTCGGTCGAAAAAATGCCCAACACTTTTTAATACGTGGATCTTCTCACTAAGGAAACACGGGGGTTATATCTTGTTTTGCACAAGAAAAGCATGTGTCTCTACCTGTCGAAACGAAGTTCTCAACTGCTAAGGCTCTTGTCCTTGGTCAGTGCAAAGTCAATTATTCGGCGTGCTTGGGCCAAACGAGTCCTACGGGTGAGGGCGAGTTTCCGCGCGACTTTCGTGGGATGAGCGTTAAAGAGCCAAGACTAATAGGTAATCGGCTAGATCGGGTCCCTTTCCCGACGCCCGGAACTCCGCCCGCTCTGGTAAGTCGACAATCTACCACAGACCAACGCAATGGCCAAGTCTCCCGGCCCCGCTTCATAATGTCGTGGTATTTTTACTTGTCACATTCCCGTTTTGATTTGGGCCGTCGCCTGTACCAAAACGCAGCGTTAAGGCTTTCAGAACATGCACACCTCGAAAACAAGACGCTCTTTGATCACAAACAACAAGCGACAACAGCTTTGCCCATAGGCGGCGGGACAGAGCCACGAGGGCGGAGGGAAAGGTTAGCGTTGTGGGAAAACACATTCAAATAAAACTATCGTAGTTAGTTTTCAAAAAGAAAAAGGGATTGGAGATCATTTTTCGGAACCGCAGTCAAAAAAATCCAATCTCGAAATGGATCAAACCGGTAAGAAACACGTATTTGTGAAGGTTTGAATTAATTGCATACTTTGTGTTTGAATAAATACTATTTAGAGATTTATAGGAAAGACTCTCTTCACCAACAAAGTAATTAAAAAAAATTGACGATTCCTTAAAAAAAGCAAGTGTCTCTACTATAACTGAAAGGTTCTCCTAAATTACTTGTAAGGATACAAGCAAATATAGATATACATCTGTTTGTGCTATTTCGTATAACTGCATCGACCTCACCCAGAGTGGCGCTCAAGTCGAGATTCTCTATACAGGCATAAATTACTGCTCCTCAACGTGGGTTCAAAAACGTGAACTAATCGTCGACACTGGAAATTGATGTTGTCGATTTGGTGTTATTTGCCGACTTAGCAATTTCAAAATGCCGATCGTTCGTCTTCTGCCCGAGATCAGTAGCAATTCGGTGTCGATATTCCAGCAGAACCGATGTGTGTCATCGATCTCCCTCTGAGCCTGTCAAAAATTTCGTTGGTCCATCGGGAACCGTGAACATAACTTTCAATACTACGACTAAATAAACATTCTTCGAATGGCAGAAGTTCTCTTCTGCCTAGAACATTGGGTCAGCTTGTTGTGTGTGATAAGGGGAGGAAAGCGTTCGCGCATGAAGCATATATAGTCTCTCTAGGTTTATATGGATTACTTCGATGGGGTTTAACGGTAGTTTAAGAAAGCGAAATTTTCAGTTCCAGGGTAAGTTTATGCTCAATAATTTGCTAAAACTGGACGCACGCATTTCTATCGCATATCATCATAGCACTAACGCATAATCTTAAGTCGGAGGCAAAGAGAAAAAGAGGTTCTAAATGAAGAGAAAACATATAACAAACGTTTTCAATAGCCAGCAGCTCTTATATGTTTTTAAAGTCTAGACGGGTTCATTCGTCGTAGAGTTAAGCATGGCTGCAGGCCTGCGAGTTTGTCGTTCCAAGATAATTTTAGGGCTGCCTTTAATTAATGGACTTTAGCTTTACTTACAGATAAGACTAGGTCAAATAAGTTTCACTGCAAAAGGTTTGGAAGATCCTGGAAATGCAACAGGATTACACATAACATTTGGCGAGCATCGAGAAACAACCTTTTCTCTGTCCAAAAGAAAATTTCGAAAAAACGTTCCGAAGATATGCCAACCAAATGCTCCATAATCGAGAGTTTAAGTACGAAAGCTTGTAAAATAATATGATACAAGCTATATCATAGTCAGCTAATGTGATATAATAAAAGACGAGTATGTTCAATTAAGCAGAGCGAATAATCAGCGGGCTACTGCACTCTGACAAAAGGTCATTACGAACGAGTTCACTGTTGCGTGTTATCTGGAGTATAGAATGCTGCCCGGAT